CTGTGGCGACACGCAACAGTGGGAGGGATCGAACTCCCCCTTGGCGATTTATGTAGGCTGCCGCCACCTGGTTGTCTGTGTGAACTTCAACATGACGGCCCTCGAGAAGGGCAGCAAAGTGTCTGATCACATTCCTCACTGTCATAAGCTCCAACACATTTATGTGCTCGTGCGTGTGGGAGGGCCAGCGATCTGCCACCGTATGGGACAAGCACGTGCCCCCCCCCACTCCGACAGTGACGCATCCGTAAACACAGATACGTGTGACGCAGGACGTCCGATGGGAACCCCGCATGAGAGGATGCAGGGGTTCCCCCAGTGAGCGAGGTCCCCGCCCACTGAAGGGGGAATCCTCAACATACGTCTCTTCTGACGTATCGGGTGTACCCGGAGGCGGATGAACCAGCGTTGCAAGCGCCTCGTGCGCAGCAAACCTAGCGGCACCACCGAATGGGCTGCGGACATCATGCCCAGGAGTTTCATGACTAACAGGGCTCTCACGATCTTGCGGGGTTGTACACGGGAGATCACCGTGGAGAGATCTGCCGCTCTTGCAGGCGACAAACGTGCTCTCATTAGGGAGGCGTCCAACTCCACCCCGAGATACACAATCGACTGGGATGGAAGGATGGAGCTCTTCTCCCAGTTTATAGAAAACCCTAGGGTTGACAGATGCTCTGTCAACCTCCTGGTTTGCTGTGACGCCTCGTCCTTGGACCGAGCGCACAGGAGAAGATCGTCCAGGTAAAATAAGACCCTCATTCCCTCCGTGCGCAGTGGCTGCAGCGCGGTCTCCAGACATTTGGAGAAGGTGCGCGGGGCTAGCGAGTAGCCGAAAGAGAGGTGATTGAACTGATATTGAACTCCCTTGAACGAAAAACGCAGAAACTTCCAGTGGTTTGGAACTACTGGTATGTGGAAGTATGCGTCTTTCAGGTTGATTGACGTGAACCAATCCCCGGGGTGCACGTATTCCAGGACTTGTCTCATCGTTAACATGCGGAAATGCATTACTGCTATGGAGCAGTTGAACAGGAGCAGGTCGAGAATCGGTCTCATTCCTCCCGACTTCTTCGGTACTATGAAGTAGCGGGAGTAGAAGCCCGAGAGCTCTTGTCCGCGAGGGACTCGGGAAATAGCGTCCTTCGACAGAAGTTCCCGCAGCTCCAGCTCTAGGGCCTGAGACTGTACTTGCGATGTGAACGTCGTCTCCACGATCCCGTTGAAGGGAGGTGGAGTGGCCTGAAAATGAAGTGTGTGACCGCAATGAATGGTGTCCGAAATCCATTTGTTCATGATACAAAGGCGGCGCCACTCGTGCGCGCGTTCCGACAGTGGACGCGTGTGCGCGGTCACGTGAACAATGTCTGAGGGTAGTGCATGCGCCCTTACCGCCGTCGCCCGTACCAGAGAATTGGGGGCGATCCATGGAGGGCTGCGCTCGAAAGGGCGAGTGCGAAACAGCTGGAACAGGCTGGTCCACACCGCGGAGCGTGGAGTCCGAGAGTGAAGGACGAGTGGGAGTGGGAGCCGGGCCTGTGCACGGGGGCGAGTGCCAGCGGATGGAGCCGCGCACTGTGCCGCCGCGCGTGGTCGAGACAGCAACCTGACATCCCGCCCCACCCAATGGTGTGGGGAGAGCGGGAAGAGTTGGGCCTGGCTGGATGCTGGGGCCGGAGCGCAAATGGAGCGCACCCTTACGGCTGGCCGTGTGTTATGACTACCTGCAGGAACATGTATGCGTGCAGCAGTGCTTGGTGTGTGGAACATGTGTGAGAACTCGGCATAGGATTCTGCGGAGGACTGTAGGATTGTGCTCTTTGAGTGACATTTTTTGGGTTTTATTTCAAAACCAACAACAACATCAGAACAATCAGTAACACACACATTCCCCCCAAAGAGTCACTTCCGTGGCTGCTTTTGGCGAGGCTCCTGCACCTGGGACTGCCAAGACGGCATCTGCTGGCCCCGCCGGAGCCGTTGTCCGTCATCTCGCTGGTCCCGCTGATGTGGAGCCGAAGCGAGAGGCCGGCTCCGTGGAGCGGGCGGTGCAGCTGGGCGTCTGAAGCTTCCGCTCCGTTCGTCCCATCCTCTGGCGGAACGGCCGGAGTGCGAGCAGGGTATATACAGCAATCCTTAAGTAAAATTTACTACTTTTTAATACTTTTTTTACTACCTTCAGAATTTTTTTAGAACCATCACAACACTAAATTGCAAGTGTTAATCAGCGACCTATTTACACATATTTTAACATATATAACATACAAAAAGAATAGACTTAGAGACTCACTGATGTTGACAACGTATTGCATATATTTATTTTACTTAGAAAATAAGCCAGGCACTTCGTTTCAGCGGTTCAGACAGTTGACCACGAGGCCTGAAATGATGCAGAATGACCACTGAATATGACGTCATCATTATGTGACCGGATATGCTAAAGTAGGGCTGCTCGATTATGGCAAAAACAATAATCACGATTATTGTGACTGAAATTGAGATCTCGATTATTTAAGACCATGTTTCAATTTATGTAGATTTTTATTTTTTTTATTTTTATTCAGTCATAAAATTGCTCAGGGCACAATCAGGGCAAAAATAAACAAGAAACAAGATGATCACTAAAATAACTCCAGGTTCCCAGTATAAAAAGACCAATATACTTATAGCTCATAGTCTATGACCCAAGGGCTATAGACCTTGGTTTAACTCATTTAAGTCTAACCAGTACAGACCCAAATACCAATATCTTGCAAATACTGACAGCAATAATTATACAGTGGCATTTATAACAAATACATGCAAATTGATGTTCACTAAATTTTGCATAACATTTATTTAGTCATGTCAAGGTGCTGTAGGAGAGTGCACTAGCACCGTGTCCTCAGAGAGATTAGTTATTTATCAGCGTGAGGAACTTATTTCTACCTTATTTATAAACTATTTACAAGTCCATCAGTTAATGTAATAATTGTCCCAACCACAGCTGCACCCCACCCCCCAACCCGGTCTCACAGCAATCAGGAGCAAGCTGCACGTGTGTTTAGCACGCCGCACGCGCACATTTAGCCGTTTTTATCGAGGAGTCCGCAGGTGCGGTGTGTGTGTCACTCACTTACTCTGATTAATCCAACAGGGAACCGGCTCTGAGAGCTGTTTCTTTAGCGACTGACACATCACTACATCATTCCCTTTCCTAATGTCCTGAAGAACGGTCCGGAGCGCAGGCGGAGTGTTTAGCTAACCTGCAGGAAACGTCAACGACAGCTATCCAGAAAGTAGCTAAGGGTTACCAGAGATGTTTCTGAGGTGTTCGCTAGGTACTTTTAAGATTCAAAAAGTCAAGAAGGGGGTCTGAGAAGCTGTTAGAAATAGCGTCAAAGTCGCCAAGTTGGCAACACTGTGGAGGAGCGCTTCATTTGCAACTCAGGGCAGCGCAAGTGGGCAGAGCAAATAATCGGCTTGTTTTGTTTTTATAATCGTTCAAAACATTTCATTCGGAATATATTTCTATGTCGATGTTCAGAATACGACATCTGATAGTCTGAAAAAAATAATACCTAATTTGGAAAATATAATACCTCTGAGACCAAATTTAACACTTTTAATGGCCTTAAATTTGACTATTTTTATTTATCACTTTTTAATACTTTTTAAAACCCCGCGGACACCCTGGCGAGGCTGACCGAGGGTGGACCAGGTCTCGCACCGTAGCCGATAGTTCGGCCGTCTTCTGAGCCCTCTCAATGACGCCCCTAAGATGGGGACCAAACAGAACATCGGTGGTGATGGGTGGCATCTCCCTTGCAGATGTTCCGGAATGGAGGGCAGGGCCTTCAGCCAGATCGCTCGCTGGATGAGGGTCTGCCAGGCAGCGATGCGAGCAGAACCGGTGAGCACAGCAGCACACAATCTGAGGATGGCATCAGCAGTCTTAGTAATGACGGCTTTCAACTCCTCAGGAGCTTCCAGCTCCTCCATCATCTTTGAGACGCCGAAGGCAAGAAGGGCGATGTTATTCCCTGCAGCGCCGGTCTGCAAGGCACACTGATGTGCGCGGTCGGTGAGCCGCGTCAGCAGCTGGTCATGTTTTGAAGCGGGAACAGCTCGCGGGCCAGCGAGGTGGTTCTTGGCGCCGAACAGCGAGGCCAAGTCCGGCTCTAGCGGAGGAACGGACGACCAGCCATGATCGGAAAACCCCTCGACCTTGGTGATGGGCGCATACGTGGAGACTGGCGCCTTGAGCTTGGCAGGCTCGGAGAAGGCGGCAGACCAGCAGCTCATAGCAGCGGGTAAGCGCGGCCAGATAGGGTCTGACAGCGTGTCTGAGTTGCCCCGAAAATTCCCGCCAAATTATCCGCTTCAGGCGGGGCTGGTTCTGGCACAGCTAGCCCCTTGCGGGCTGCTGCCGCAGAAATGATGGCGGGCAGCTCCTGGAGCAGTGCTCTTACTGCTGGCAGGGAGAAGCGAGAAGCCACTGGGGCAGAAGGACCCGCTGAGCGAAGCTCCTCGACCTCCGTTATGTATAGGAGGGATGCCGCCTCATCGTAGTTCTCGCTGTCGGTGACGTCATCCAGCCGGTTGAAGCCAGCCGGCTCCTGACCGGCGTCGAAGAAATCCAAAGCCTTGTCCAGCGGGTACGAGTCAGCGACCGGAAATTCTTCGTCGGCGGCGGGAGTGAAGTACTCGACCCGGCGAATCTTCTCCGCCACGGGCAGAGCGGCACAGAACGGGCACAAGGTCAAGGCCAGGCCAGCGTGGTGAGCCCCGAGACAGACCTCACACTTAGCGTGCAGGTCGCCGCTGGAAATGGAGCCCGTCTGGCAGGTCGGGCAGGGTCTGGCGTCGCTGGACATGGCTGGTAAGTCGTCTTCTGGATAATTTGCTCTTGCAGGGATAATATTTGCTCTTTGAGGAAGCTCTCAAGCTTGGCATGAAGAGAAAAAGGAGGTGAGCAGTGGGGTCACTGCGGTTATATACCACGAGGGGGCCCACTATTGGTGGGCGTACATTTAAGCTCTTCATGATTGGCTGATGCGGAAATCATCCTTCCAATAGCAGCTAGCTTAAGGGCTAAGACTAGACGAAATAGAACCCGAAACAGTTTCCAGGCCAGACCGAGGCTCAACTGAGGCCTTTCCACAGAGCTAGCTCTGTGGTCACGTGGGTCTGAGGCGGCGTTCACTTGGGTCGGATGCTCAATAGTTATACAGAATTTTAGGCTTTTAATACACTTAAATAGAAGCGTGAGAAAAAAATTCACCCCCCTCAGAGTTGTCATGAGTGTAAACTAGATCATTTAAACCAAAAACATGTTCTGGTACCAGGCTGTAAACAAGTTTATTTCTGCTGTGAAATTGGTATTTTTAACATGGGAGTCAATGATGATTTGCTCGCTTCTGACACCAGCCCCTAGTGGATGAGGGTGGAACTGCAATTTTTCTTACTTCCGGGTTGGCCTCAATTTTTAAGCTGCATTGCGGGGGCCTGGATATTACACATTTGAATTTAGCATGATGACATCATCAAATTCCCAAAGTGCTCCAAAATGGACCATATTAGTCTACTTTTTAGTGCTTTGTTTGTGCTGATTTGTGCAGGTGAAACTGACATTTGTGCTGCTATGGTTTCTGAGATATATGCTTGACAACGTTTTTTCAAATACCATGTGTGCCTTTTATTTGTAAATGAGTTCAATAAAGTTTTGCAAGAAAACCTGTCTCCTTTATGTTTTTAAAATAATCTTTATTTGTTGAACATATACAGTAGTAATCAATGTTACTTTTACAAATATTTTTCTTTCATCAATATGAGATATCAGTAAAAAAAAGTATACCACCAGGATTTGAACCCACATGGTTAACACGGCACCTGAAAACAAAAAGGTACAACCCCACGCTGTGTTATACACAGTATAATGCGCATTGCTTGCATTTCTTTTTTGTCTTTTGCTTTATTACTGTTACATGTGTTTAATATCGTTAACTTGTGTTACCAGTGTGTTCAGTCTTTCATATAAAGTCGTTTTTCTAAATCAAGTCACTTTTGTGCTCTTTTCTTTGTCAGTCTAAAGCAGTGTTTTTCAACCCTGGTCTTCAAGGCACACTGCCCTGCATGTTTTTGTATTCTCCCTGCCTTAACAAGCCCCATTCAGCTGACTGCAGTTCAGCAAAAACTTGTTAATCAACCATCAATTTTAATCAGCTGTGCTGAAGCAGGGAAAACCTGAAAACTCCCTGGACAGTGTGCTTTGAGGACCAGGGTTGAAAAACACTGGCCTAAAGTATATTTGCTTTTCAAACTCCGTCAAATTCACCTCTATAAACTTGAAGGTTATATTTTTCTTTGAATAGATTTGCCATATAGCACTTTGGGAATTTGATGATGTCATCATGCTAAATTAAAACGTGTAATATCTCAGAAACCGTTGCAGCACAAATGTCAGTTTCACCTGCACAAATCAGCACAAACAAAGCACTAAAAAAGTAGACTATTGTGGTCCATTTTGGAGCACTTTGGGAATTTGATGATGTCATCATGCTAAATTAAAATGTGTAATATCTCAGAAACCGTTGCAGCACAAATGTCAGTTTCACCTGCACAAATCAGCACAAACGAAGCACTAAAAAAGTAGACTATTGTGGTCCATTTTGGAGCAGTTTGGAGTAGTCCGGGGGGGACGGTGACCTCTGAATGACCTATTAAATAAAGTTTAATATCTCCAAAACCATAGCAGCACAAATGTCAATTTTACCTGCACAAATCAGTACAAACAAAGCACTAACCAAGCAGTCTATTTGCCTCCACTTTTGAAGCTGACGGGGGGTCAGCTTCACAGAGCTAAAGCGATGCAATCTACTGAATAAAGTTTCTTCTCCTAGCTGGACAAGTCTGTCATCAATGACCTTGCAACTGGTGATCCCGCTGCAAGAAACAAGAGTCTGATCAAAAAGTGGTGCAAAACAAAGACAAACACGGTAGACAAGCTAAAAAAGCTGCTTTGAGGCTTTTATGTTGTTTATTCATTTGGAAAGGGTGAAAATAAAAATTAAAACTCATGTTCTCTCAGACATTCTGGAATGGCACCGTAGAGAACTGCCCCGCTGGTGCTGTTTGTTGGGAGGATGGAAACCTGACATGGACTGAGATGAACACCACTTTCACTGAATACCAGCAGAAATGTAAGCATGGTGGGATATTTCTTTGAAACATGAGCAAGCCATTCGGCCATCCTCTGATGTCCGGACAATGCCAGCTTTAGAAATGTCGTAGCAATTGCGTTACCTGAAACCTCAAGACCTGAAGTGAGGGATTTCCTTGAAGTAATCTGGTGAACCAGTTTAAGGAACTAGAATGGATCCACATCAGGGGAGAGCTTCAGACGGCAGGATTTGGAGTTTTATTTCCTGATATTCAGACGTCATTAACGCAACTTCATCACTGACTGTTTGCGCTGCAACATTAATGTTTTATCTCCACAAATAACACAAGCCCAGAGGAGTTCTGCGGTGTGGTGATGTTACTAATGCTAATGGGTAGCTTCTACTTGTTAAGATGTTCTCTGCTGATTCCTGGATGCTAAACCAACAAAAGCCTTTCATGTCGTTAGTCAAGATGGGTGAGTCCATGAATGTTCAGTGGCAGCCTACCGTAGATCTGTGAGGATTTCCAAATCCTAGAGTTTCGCCGTCTATTTTCTATCCGAAGCTAATGCAGGAGATAGATGTAGGAGACTATTTTCATGTTCAGCCTACATGAAAAACTCATGAGTGACTGATTATAATCAGAATTTTTTTTTCAGTGTTCTACACCTTCAAGTTAAATGTAACCTGAAATAACCTTTCTATCATCAGTTTTGGCCTGAAACAAAATAATAAAGTAGGCAAGACGTTCTACAGGACGACACAGCAGCACAATGTTGTTATTGTGTTTTTATTTCTATTAGGTTTTTCCCTCATTCGGAGCAGCTCTCATTCTCCCTGTGTAAACTCGTTTTTGTACCTAAATAGAAAACACTAACAGCCGCTGTTCCTCTGGAGTCAATCTTGCTACCCCTCCCCTCCTGCTTAGTATGTTCTCAACAATCCCAGTGTTTTATCTAATGCACATTATTTCCATTTTTAAGTGTCACAAGCAAGCTTAGAGCTAACACTTCATGTCTTCAACTGTTATTTACAGGCAAACACCTTTTCGTCAACATTACCTTGCCTGATCTAGCCGTTGGCCTCATTCTCCTAGTTCTGTCTTTGCTCATCCTCTGCACATTCCTCATCCTCATCGTCAAGCTGCTCAACTCCATGCTGAAGGGACAGGTGGCTGTGGTTATCAAAAAAATGCTCAACACAGGTAAAGAGCAAAACGAAACCATCAAATAGCCTTGCCCATATGCTCTGTGAAGCCTGTTTGATCATATCTGTTCCCACGATGCTAGATGAGCTGTGCAGGTGTAGCTTTCCTGTTGTTTCTGGCTTTCCTCCAGATCCAGCTGTTCTGAAGTCTTTTGCAGAGAGCTCAGATATGAATGCTGTTTTTCCAGAATCACTTTTGTTTTTGAATGAACTATTGCCAAAAGGTGAAAGGAGGGCAAATTTAGAAAACATAAAAATGTCCCAAACTAAAATTCTTCATAACACATAAAATGGACAATGATCTATTTCTATGGTATAATTTACAATTTTTTCTAAAGGAAATCATGGGACATAACTCTTGATTATGGCCTCAAGAAATACAAAAATTGTTGTAGCTTAGTCAATTTAGCAAATCTTGAGCTAAAATCTGTGGTTGCAGTATTAGTCAGCACCAAACACACTCCAAGTGCTGCATGCTGTTGTAGTGTTAAGGATTGATCACATATGGAACAAATGATCAACAAGATGTGATAATTCCATATAAATATGAAATATCAATCTGATTGATCTTTTACTGTTTAATCAGATGACTGTAGTTTATTTTACTTATCAGGGAACATGTAAACACCTCATGTTAATTCAGACAGAGCGAAGTTTAGTTTATAAAAAAGAATGTATTTCTACAAGTTACTTTCTGGTCATTTTTTTAATGAAAACTTTACCTTTGATCCGTTACACTGTCTTTAATAAAAAATCTAGACATCATGAAGTAAACAGTTTATTCCATGAATAATTGAATTTATTTGATTGAAATGTGCAGAGATGCACACATACAGCTAACATTTAGAGGCAACCTCATTCAAGACAACTATGACTCAACAGTTTCTCAAAATAAGGTGTTTTTCCCATCTGAAATGAATGGTGCTTTGCCTCAAATATTTAGTCAAATCACTTCATTTTGTTTGTATGCTAATGTTATTGTTTCACTTCTTGTGTATATTTTTGATTTCAGACTTACCCTACCCCTTTGCATGGGGTACTGGCTATATAGCAATTTTCGTGGGAGCAGGGATGACTTTTCTTGTCCAAAGTAGCTCAGTCTTCACTTCAGCACTTACGCCTCTGGTTGGTAAGTCTAATTTTGCATACTCGTTCCTCTAGGTTTGTTTTGATTTAGATATAAACCCAAACTTACACCTTGTCAATCTTAGGTATTGGTGTAATCAGTCTTGAGAGAGCTTATCCCTTGACACTGGGTGCAAACATGGGTACAACAACCACTGCTGTACTTGCTGCTATGGCTAGCCCTGGAGATAAACTAGCCAACTCATTGCAGGTAAAAATGTTGACCCTCATGGTTGATACAGTTGGAAATGTAAATTTGAAAGTTTATTACGGCTTTATCAATTCAAGGTATTTTTGCTTTTGGGTTTGAGAAAGAAAGAAATGTATTTGAGTGAGCAAAAAAAATTTTTTGCAGGAGTGACTGCCAGCCACACAGCAGCAGGCCCCGCAGACTACTACTACTACTACTACTGGCCTAAAAATAAAAGCTACTTATGAAGCCTATAACAATTTAGGATTTCTTTTTTAATTTTTATTTTTTGCTTTTTAGTCTGAGTAATGAAGGTGTTAGAGTTTTTATTTTATTTTATTGATGATATCCAGAAAAATATTTCATTTTTACAGAGCCAGTCAGCCCAATTCAACCTTTTTTGCTGATAAACTAAGTGAGTGCCAATAATTTGGCACTTCTGCCTAACGCCGGGCACACACCTGCTGCGGAAGCGCCGCGAAAATGGGACCGCCTTCATTTGGCGCCCTTGTTAAGCTATTCTATAGACCACATGGGCCGCTGAATCGCCGCGCGCCAGCGCTCCAGCCCGCGCCGTGCAGCGATCATTTCGGCTTCTGCTCTATTTTTTTAGCGAGCCTTGGGTGAATCGCGTCAATTCTGGTAGGAAGTCAAACCTAGACATAAGAGGCAGGCCGGTAAATTTAACAAAATAAAGCTTTTCAAAATAAAATTCCGCAATAGTCAAATGTGTTCGTAATCAGACACTGCAGAAAAACCACACGAACACATACACACACATCGAACTTGTGTGCGTGTGTGACCACGTGAAGGGGGGTGTGGTTTTGGGTGTCTTTTTTCTGGAGCAAACAGGACAGAGAGGCAGAAAGTCTGAGGCAAGCCGTTAAGATGGATGACTTTAAATTAATTATGGAAGTTGAGAAACACAAGGAGCTGTACGACCCCTGAAAAACATGATTATTTACGTACCCATTTCAGAAGAAACTGCTAGGATACAGCTGCAGAATTTGAGCGGGTTCCAAGAGATTCAACTGGCAGAAACAACTCATACCATAGGTTCACACACACACACACACACACACACACACACACACACACACACACACACACACACACACACACACACACACGTACAAACACTCAAACGTAGAGGAAAAGAGCTGAGAAAAGGCAGAGAGGAAATGGAGGACACCAAGTGTTTAAAAGAAAATCTACAGCTGAGCCGAGGCGCGCCTCAACTGGGGCGCGTCTGATCTGAACTGAGGAGCAGCAAGCAGCGGCCGAATTTCATGAGCGATTCGCTTCTCGGCGCTTCCGCGGACGGTGTGTCCCCGGCGTAAAACTGTCAGTGTTGCGCCCTCTTCAGGTAAAAACTCCAAACCCAAAATTCCACTACCTCCGCTCCCGCCTTCCGCAGCCGCTCGCTTCCGAATTCAATTTTTCTTGGTACCCGCTCTACAACGGCTCCGCTCCGGTGCGGAGACCTGAGGTGCGCAAACAGGCATGCGCAGGATTTTCGAGATCTTGCGATACAGTCCGGCCAATAAACGCAGAAGTTAGATCCAAACACCCGTTGTGTGGGAGAAGCATCGGCATGAACTGTTTAATCTGCCCATCATTTGTGTTGAGAGATCAGCAGTGTTTGGATCAACAAAGGGTGACTGCTTTGATAGTGGAAACTGTATTTATGGCTTATTTTTGTGCATTTAAACTTCAGCCGCCATTGATAGTTGTTAAAAGTTGTTAAACCTGTGCATTTGAATAAAAAAATGCTTTTTGTTTATCGATTTATTGTGAAATAACGGAAGTTGTGCTCGCTCCCTTTCCTGTTGGGCGGTTGTGATTTCTGTCCATTGACTGCGGAGGTGCTCCGGCGTCCGGCAAAAATAGAATCGATCCTATTTTTGCCGGATGGCAGAACGGCGGGCGGCGCACTGCGCCACACGGCCGCAGTAGTGGAACAGCTCTGATTGACTACAACGGGACCGTTTTTGCTGCAGAGTTCGTGCCGGAGCGGAGCGGAGGTAGTGGAATTTTGGGGTAAGAGGTACCCTATGACGTTAGATGGTACCACATGATGTCACAATGTGAGCCTGTGTGTATTTGTTAGTGGCTCCGCCCTCTCTGTCTGCCAGGCAACGCCTCCTTGTGACACATTTTTCAAACAGGAAATGGGAGTAGAGTTAGACTCTGGTAGGGGGTGACTTGCTCTTTAATAGACGTTCATCCCAAATAAATTAATAAAAAGATTTGGTTGTACATCTGAGCCAAACACAAAATGCCACCATTTAGAACAGCCTGGATATGTCCTCCTGTTTATGGCCATATTTAACGTGTGTTTGTTTTTTGTTTTAGATTGCACTCTGCCACTTCTTCTTCAACATCATGGGAATCCTACTTTGGTATCCAATCCCCTTCATGCGGGTGCCCATCAGGCTAGCCAGAGGTCTGGGGAACAAAACAGCTAAATACCGCTGGTTTGCTGCCCTCTACCTCTTCTTGTGTTTTGCAGTTCTACCTCTCAGTGTATTTGGCCTTTCATTGGCTGGCTGGCAAGTCGTGGTTGGCGTTGGTGTGCCTGTAATTGCGTTAATTGTCGTGGTTGTCATCATCAGTGTTATGCAGTCTCGATGCCCACGCTATCTTCCAAAGGTCCTCCGCACCTGGGACTTTTTGCCTCGACCCCTTCACTCCATGGCTCCCATGGACAGGGTGGTGACTTCGTCCATGCTGTTTTGTGGCAGACACTGCTGCTGCTGTTGCAGATGCAGCACCTGCTGCAGAAAAGACGATGATGAGGAAAAGATCTCAAGGATAAACATGAAAGGTCTAGAGATGTACAAGAACTCGGCCTTGACTACAGATAAAAACATAAACAAGAGTGTTATAGCAACTCACCTTTAATGTCATAATGTTAAATGTTATGCGGGTGCAATACAGCGATGGGTGTGTAACATCCATAATTCCAGGTTTCAGTTTGTAAGAATAATTAATAGCAGTGTAACTCAATTATCAAAGGAAACAAAGCAAACACTGAAGTTGAAAAAGTCTAACTATTCTTCCCAGAAGTAACCTGAAATTTTAAGATAAAAATCAGTTGGACTATATTCATACAGATGATTTTCTAAATATTTGAATGTAGTGCAAAAGTCCATTTATTGAGTAATTAGACTGAGAGACCATCTAAAGGCTTAGGAATCCTTTGCAGGTGTTTAGGATTCATTAGCTGATTAGAGTGTGACACGTTGAGTCTAGAACATTGAACCTTCTCACAATATTCCAATTGTCTGAGATTTTGAATGTAGAGTTTTCATCAGGTGTAATCCATAATCATCCTAATTATAACAAATATCAGGCTTTACATGTAATGAGTCTATCTCATATATTAATTTCATCTTTTAAATGGAACTACAGACATAAATGAATTTTGCACAAGATTCAATTTTTAATAGAATCAGCTCCTCTAAATCTGAGACCATGGTCTTGATTTGGAAAGGGTAGAATGCCTTCTCCGGGTCAGGGATGAGGTCCTGGCCCAAGTGGAGGAGTTTAAATATCTCAGGGTCTTGTTCACGAGTGAGGGAAAACTGGAGCGTGAGATCGACAGGCGGATCGGTGCTTCATCTGCAGTGATGCGGGTGTTGTACCGGCCTGTCGTGGTGAAGAGAGAGCTGAGTCAGAAGGCGAAGCTCTCGATTTACCGGTTGATCTACATTCCTACCCTCACCTATGGTCATGAGCTTTGGGTAGTGACCGAAAGAATGAGATCACGGATACAAGCGGCCGAAATGAGTTTCCTCTGCAGAGAGGCTGGGCTCTCCCTTAGAGAAAGGGTAAGAAGCTCAGTCATTCGGGAGGGGCTCGAAGTAGATCCGCTGCTCCTCCACATCGAGAGGAGCCAGTTGAGGTGGCTCGGGCATCTGGTCAGGATGCCTCCTGGACGCCTCCCTGGTGAGGTTTTCCGGGCACGTCCAACCGGGAGGAGACCTAAAGGTAGACCCAGGACACGGTGGAGGGACTATGTCTCTCACCTGGCCAGGGAACGCCTTGGGATTCCCCCGGAGGAGCTGGCCCAAGTGGCTGGGGAGAGGGAAGCCCGGGCCTCTTGCCTTAGGCCACTGCCCCCATGACCCGACTCCGACTAAGCGGATGAAAATGGATGGATGGATGGATGGATGGATTGATTCTATTTTTTCTATTGTCAACTGTAAATGTGCAAGTTTTGAGTGTTTTTTGTGAGTTATGTGTGTTTTTTTACAGTTATTTTGGAAGATAAAAAAACTCTTCGTATTGTTTGTGATTTGCGATGATGAAAATATATCTTTATCGATTAGCATAAACATTTCATGGTGAATATAGTATAAGGCTGCCGTAGGCCGAATAGCACAATACAAGGCAAAACAAAAGGTATTGCTTATAATGCCAATTCTTTGTTAAAAAGAGAAAGAACAAAGTGCAAACAGCTCATGTACATAGGGTTCGAAGCCAGAAAGTTAAAGACATTTAAACAACAAAACAAAAACCACATTAAATATACTTTCCACCCTATACACATATATACACATGAAATTTATTTCATAACAGTATTCATTGCAAAAAGAAGTAAGAATTAAAAAAGCCAAGATTTTCAATATTCTTATTTTGTACTATTCATTCGTGTTCTGTATACTTTTCTAATCATCTAGTTTTTAGCATATTTTTAAACACTGAAAATAACAACACCTTTTTAAATAATTGTCATAACTGTTCCACCAATTAACTCCTCTAACAGAAACACATCTGTTTTATGTTTGTCCTTAGCATTTTCTTTTTGAAAAAATCTGTTCCTCTTAAGTCATGCTGACCGTCTCTGACCTCAAACAACTTCTGTGTTCTTTGGCAAAACAAATAATTTTTTGCTTTATACTGTATCTGTGCAGTTTTATATTCAATGAAATCATAACATTTCAGGGTTTCAAATTAATGAACATATGTTGGTTGGTTCTAGTTTGATTGATTTATAATTGTTATAGCACTTTTTTGCAGCTTAAAAACAGGAAGACTATTAGTTTTATATGCATGCATTTCTCAGTTTGAATCACTAGCCAACGCTACTTACTTATTTCTGATAGAGTACTCAATTTGTTGAAAGGTTTTAAATATTGTTTCTTAAACCAGCTTAAACAAATTCTTTGGATAAAACAAAGTAATAATAAACATTTTTAATAATATAGTAACAAAAATGAATCAGGGTTAGAATTAGCTTTATCAGCTAAGACTGTTGCACAATCAAGGAATTTGGCTTCGGATTCACACGCTATTATACAAGCAATGTTATGGAGATCAAGAAAAAAATCAAAGACAAAATGTATGTTTAGGCATTTTATTAAAATGTGTAAGTTTATAAAAAATCCAAAGGTTTGTTGCAGAAGTGCAGTATGCTTGTTGTTAAGCAGGGGCCAGGAACTGTCCCTTTGGCAGTTGGTTTTTATATAAAGTGCTCTTTAACACTGACTGTATGATTAAAGTTAGCAATATTTGTGTGCAGGTTGTGTGGAGTCATTTGGCTGCTCTTTTCCTGACTCTATACCTGTAATCCAAAGGGGTTCAAATAAAGGCAACTGGACTTCTTTGGTTTCTTGAAGATGTTTCGCTTCTCATCGGAGGAGCTTTGTAAATTCTAACTGGAATATAGGAGAGTCAGTTTAAAAACTGTAGCTGTCTATTGTTATTTAAAGCTGCTTTCCGGATTTTTACCCTTTCAGAAATGATGTATGCTTTTTCAGAAATTTGTAAAAGTTATTGTCTCATCATGTACTGTAATATAATGTAAGCAATACCATTTTTTTTGTTAAGCACACCCCCTGCCCCGCAGAGCTCCATGCAATAGGAAACTGAGTGCCGACCAGAACTAACAATAGCGTTAGACTACCGCTTACTTGCTTCAAATTTAAGGAATACCTCGGCTGCAGAGTTGATGAACTTTTCATGGACAAGTACGTCTTTAAAATATAGATATATGAAAACACAACATGGCATGAGAATAATACTCGTAAAACAATGTGTTTTAGCTCTGTTTGTTGGCTACAGAAGCACATTTATAAACAGAAACATGAAGTCACCATCTTTAAAAAAGAGAGCAACAGATTTTTTGTTGTGATATGCTTGTCAGCCACTAGATGGTGCCGTCAGATAAGAGAAATACTCCGGGAAGAAGCTTTAATGAGCAGAAACTACTCTGGATGCCCCTCCTCTATCGCTTGATGAGTCATTAGCCTCTGTTGAGAGGGAATCATTGTGTTGATTAAATGCTGAAACTGGAGCGAATCTCACACAGCTTCAGAGATTTATTGAAGATCCGTGTGAAGGTGTGGGCCAATTGATCAGCACAGGCTTTGAGAAAAGAGGGGGAAATACCATCAGGACCTGGAGCTTTCCTGGTCTGAAGTTAAGAAAGCCACCTCACAATCCCAATTAGGGCTGCTCGATTATGGCAAAAATAATAATCACGATTTTTGTGACTGAAATTGAGATCACGATTATTTAGGACGATTTTTCAATCTATGATGATTTTATTTGTTTTTATTCAGTCATAAAACTGCTCAGGGCACAATCAGGACAAAAATAAACAAGAAACAAGATGATCACTAAAATAACTCCTGATTCCCAGTATAAAAAGACCAATATACTTATAGCTCATAGTCTATGACCCAAGGGCTATAGACCTTGGTTTAACTCATTTAAGTCTAACCAGTACAGAACCAAATACCAATATCTTGCAAATACTGACAGCAAGAATTATACAGTGGCATTTATAACAAATAAATGCAAATAAATTGATGTTCACAAAATGTTGCATAACATTTATTGAGTCGTGTCAAGGTGCTGTAGGAGAGTGCACTAGCACCGTGTCCTCAGAGAGGTTAGTTATTATTTATCAGCGTGAGGAACTTATTTCTACCTTATTTATAAACTATTTATTTACAAGTCCATCAGTTAATGTAATAATTGTCCCAACCACAGCTGCACCCCCCACCCCCCAACCCGGTCTCACAGCAATCGGGCAAGCTGCACGTGTGTTTAGCGCGCTGCACGCGCACATTTAGCTGTTTTTAGCTGCTCAGGAGTCCGCAGGTGCGGTGTGTGTGTCACTCACTCTGGTTAATCCAACAAGGAGCCGGCTCCGAGAGCTGTCTTTAGCGACCGACACATCACTACATCATTCCCTTTCCTAATGTTGTGAAGAACGGTCCGGAGCTCAGGCGGAGTGTTTAGCTAACCTGCAGGAAATGTCGACGACCGTTATCCAGAAAGTAGCTAAGGGTTACCAGAGATGTTTCTGAGGTGTTCGCTAGGTACTTTTAGGATTAAAAAGTCAAGAAGGGGGTCTGAAAAGCTGTTAGAAATAGCGTCAAAGTCGCTAAGTTGGCAACACTGTGGAGGAGCGCTTCATTTGCAACTCAGGGCAGCGCAAGCGGGAGGAGCAAATAATCGGCTTGTTTTGTTTTTTATAATCGTTCAAAACTCAGATCGTAATCGTGATTAAAATTCGATTAATTGAGCAGCCCTAATCCCAATGTTTTAATATCTGTACAATCATGTCATGTTCCGCATGTGGGTTTATTTTTGTTATTTAAAAGAACAGTTAGGGTCAGGATTGTGGAGTTGGGTATGCCATCCTTCCAAACACAAGCACAGTGTGTGTGGGTGTGTGTGTGTGGGTGTGTGTGTGTGTGTGTGTGTGTGTGTGTGTGTGTGTGTGTGTGTGTGTGTGTGTGTGTGTGTGTGTGTGTGTGTGTGTGTGTGTGTGTGTGTGTGTGTGTGTGAGAGAGAGAGAGAGAGAGAGAGAGAGAGAGAGAGAGATTGCCAGGTTACACACCAGCAATATGAAACCGATAGGTTTCTGAGACCATTTTTGGTGGTCTCGTAATTCGTGACTTTTAGTGCTGTAATCTTTGAAAAATATGAAAAGTAAACATTAATATATTATTACAAACTTTGTAACAGCCATTATCATTTAATTGAGTTATTTCAGCACCTTATCCTTCCTTTTGTGTTTTATAGGTAATTTAAAAATTGGTTTCGCACACCATATCGTGTGTGTTGTGTACAATATCAGAGCCCCCTGCTGGTAGAAAACTGCACAGCAGGGCTGATACAACCGATACAATGTAGCACCTCAGCAGCAGGACTTCTCTTGGCCTCAAATTTTGACTTCTCGCTAAAAAATATAAATTGCCATCGAAGGACACAGACTCACGAAACATTTTGTGCTATTTTCTCATCCACTCCTAAACAACAATCAATAGTGAAATGATGATGCAATTAAAGCTGCAGAACTGTGGGAAGGAAAAAAGATAAAAACAAGAAGGCAGAGTGACTGCATTAATAGAAGAGGACGCAGCACAGAACAGGTTGGACTGTAGCAGCGACAACGAGTGGGAGCAACGTCTTTGACTGACAGCGGGGCAGAGGCTGGACCTCTGCCTGCATCCGTGAGTAGACTGCTTCCACTGTCGTATGCAGGGTGACGTTCCGTTTGGGCCAATCCTACGGGAGGAGAAAGAGATGACACCACTTCACAGACAAAGGTTCTGCCCCAGTGTTTTGACCTTGGCAGGGAGGAGCGGCGAGAGCCTCTGGGAGATCATGGCTGAGATGATCGCCTGATGAGAGCAAGACCAGACTGCTGGGGTCGGACGCAGAAGCCGGGAGGTCGCCTTTCCCATCCTGGAAATTCCCTCTGTGTGACGTTGTAGATCTGGGTGGAGCCCAAGTACCTTTGGGGGTCTTCTTAAAGAACTTGTGTTAATTGCTTTTATGGACTCGAACTTTTTTAGTCTGCATTGATTCTTGAGCATTTTTTAGACTTTATATACTTTTAGACTGGGGATTATTCTTTTAAGCAAAGACTTCTATATTTAGCTAATAAAAGAGGTTGCAGACAAACTTCTGCTCTCCTGTGTCTGTCCCTCTGGTTTAGCACACTCGCTCTCCACCTGTGTCATTGCGAATCCCTGGTATGACGCTTGAGCTCTGCAGTTCCAGCATTGCCCAGGTGACACTTTTACTGAGGATTATGAAATTTGGTACACGTATGTAGTGTCTGGCAGGTTTCAAAAGAGGGTGGGGCTTTAGCGGTATGGCGAATTTAGGCATCACACCACGGAATTACTAGGGCTTTAGACCCACAACCTAAAATTGGTAAGCCATTGGTAATCAAAAGTTGTCTAAAGAGTTTTCAAAAGGACTAATGGTGTTGGTGTAGCTTAGTCTCAAATATTGGTCTTTTGACATTAAAGTCCTTGGTTTATTAACTTGCAGACACATGATCAGAGCTATATCCAACTTAGTGTGTGTCATCACATATCTCAAGACAATGACAGTGCCATTTCCTGCCATCAACAAAGCCACTACCCCTGACAACATGAAGTACATTGTTTGACTCCAAAAGGTCCACATTTGACCCTTTGTATCAAATCAACATGAGACACTATCCATTTACAGAAGACATGCTGGTGTCATGCAGAATTCAGTACTAAGATATATCAAGAGAGGATGGGATTGTGGTGGCACGGCAAAGTCTGATGGCAAGCAGTGGCCTTACGTTTGGCTGTAATTTCATCATACACACCGATTTTCACCAAATTAAACACAATAGATGTTAATACAGCCTCTGAAAGCAATTTGTTGGTAATTGTAGTCTTAATTTTGCCACAGGGACATCTCTTTAATAACTTCTACAAAAAAGGCCATAATGTCAGTATGCTTTCTTGTTTAATCCTTGTAGCTGTGTTGAGTGTTAACTTGAAAAGGTTTGTACACTCTGTAAGCCTCTAGCTGCGTTTTATACTCAACAAGCTATCCTATTTAATCCTGACCCCTACAGATGACATGCTCAATGAATGTCACAGACAATGGCAAACAGAGGAGCAGGTGCCTGAAATACTATTGTGGAAGGACACTTCTGTTTGTGATGTACCACAGACAAGACATAGGACAACTAAGACAAACAAAAACTGAGCTTTAGGTAGCATGAGGTTGACGTTTCTGAACAGAAACGTTAGCAGAAATGTTAGCATTACCTATGCACTCTTCTGAATTAAGATTTCTGAAGTTCATCCTGGAATATGCCCGTCTCTCTCCCAGTTAAATGGTCACAGGCCCAAGTGCTCGATTGACCACTGGTACTTCTGAGGCCTTGACTTCCCAAAAAACCTTTATTTTCTCTTTGATTCCTTGACATTTTGACTGTTATATGTAAATGTGTACACTGGTCTCATAATGTTTTAATGTTCCCTTAAACCATGAAACAGTCAGAATTGTATATTTTTGTAAACAGACCTTATAAACCATAATTGTCTCCATAAACCACCAGGTTGTCATGTCCTCATGAGCCTGTGAAAATTCATATATGAAATGTATGTATGTTCTGATATGCTTTTCTTAGTTTTGAAGTGAGACTTTTCTTCTTTACGTAAAATCAAAATTTTTGACATACTTAATGTGTTCACCAGATGCAGGGAAAGGTGTGTCCTCATAAACCACCAAAAAGTCATAGTAGTTTCATAAACCATAAATGCATGTGTGTGTGTGTGTGAGAGAGAGAGAGAGAGAGAGAGAGAGAGAGAGAGAGAGAGAGAGAGAAATATGTACCTCATTCTCCTCCACCTCTTAACGCAGTCGGCCAGTCCCAAACCAACTATTCCATTAGGATTATGTAAATGTTCATATCATGAAACTTTCTCTGAAAGACATTCTACAATCTGCTCCATGTCACCTGTTGGAGATAGGGGTGGGAATTGATAAGTTTTTATCAATATCAATGCCATTGTCTATCAATCCAATTCCTTATCAATTCTCTTATCAGTTTCTGGGTAGTTCAATAGATGGCAAAAAATAAATAGCACACGGTCTCCTACATTATAACTGTCCTTTTATTATTGATAAATAATCAATTGTACCTGGTATTGGTTGGAAAGATCTTTCAAATGTTCTCTTTTCTGCTCCTTGTGAAGGCAGAGTCATCTTCATGTCCAGTGTAGTGTTGCTGTAGCTTTTGCAAAATGGACAAAATCTCACCACAGGTTGGACTTTAGTCGCTGAAGTCTGCTAGTGTGGAACTGTGTATATAAGGCAAATGACGCTAACATAATAGGCAGTGTTAGCTGATTAATTACCTGCAGTATTAACAGGAGAGGACGTGCAAATGCTGTTGCTGCTGCATTGAAATTCACTAGTCTGGGACTTCCGGTTGGAACACCGACGTGATGGCCGCGCTGTGAGAGAGCTCTCGATAGAACCAAAGTAAACGACCGCAAAACCCCCTCTAAATGGCGAAATCAACCTAGTGAATGAAAGAAGATACTGAGGGGCAAAGAAACACACCAAAGACTTGTGCCTTATTGCGGTGCTTTGCAAGAAAATCATCTTTGACAAGTGCTAGTGTTACCTGCTAAAGCTAAGCGCCGCAAATCTATGGAAGAACAGCACAAAGGTAACTAGCGAGCTAACTAAGCTAGGCTAACACGAAAGATGACAGAATACGGAGTACTCCTTCAAGAGATTAGAGACTTTCGTCAAGAAAACAACGAAAAATTAAAAAGCATTAAAGACGACATTGCTAAAGTGAATGAGCGAATGGAAGAAGCTGAAGGGAGGATCGAGAGAGCGGAGGAGAGACTTCAGAATATGGAAGATGCTATGACCGAGCTAGTGCAGTTGCACGTGAGATCGACTGACAAGCTGACTGAAATGGAAAGCCGCTCAAGGAGAGAGAATATCAGGATTCATGGTGTGCCGGAAACATCGGAGCGAGATTCACAGTCGAGCGTTTTTGTTGAAACATTGTTGCGCGAAGGCCTGAAGCTGGAGGCTGTAGAGAACATTAACATAGAACGGGCTCACCGCTCTCTGGGCCCACTACCCCCAAGCGGGGCTCCACCACGTTCTATTCTTGTGAAGTTTCTAAGCTTCAAGACCAAGGAAAAGATACTTTGCAAATCCTGGCAACAGAAAGGCTTCACCTGGAACGATAAACAAATAGTGCTGGATAATGACTACTAGGGATGAGCCGGATACTCGTTTCAGACAAGTATCCGGTATGGATAAAGCATTTTTGACTAGTACGAGCATGAACCGAGTAAAACTCGTCAATATCCGTAATCGTGCAGAAGGAAAATCCTCATTGGGTAACTGACTGTCTTCACGCTCTGTGAGTGGCCGGTCAAATAGAGCGCCCGCCCCTCCCTACTCACAAAACTGAGTCAGCAGCAGCCGGGAGCTCAGTCCAGCACATGCATCCACGCACACACACAGACAGACAGGAACGGATCTATCTGTGCTTGCTTCACTGCAGCACTCCCTAGGTTTTTTTCAGCTCGCCTCATTTTCAGTTTCATATTTAAAGTTATTTTTTTCGTAACGTACGTGGTGCATTGGCAAAACAGAGTGACGTGCTGCGTTAGTAGCTGCCTGCCTCCGCTCCGGTCAGGTTTTTTTTTTACTCTCTCCCCCTCTATCTCTCCCCCTCTCACTCTTTCTCTCTCCCTCTCTTTTTCTCTCTGTCCTTTTTTTCTCTCTTATACAATCAGTGATACTGAGGGTACTTCTACTTCAGCTGAGACTGAACCAGGCAGCACCCACCTTGTCCCCACTGAGACCAATATTGCATCTAGTGATGGACGTCCTCCTCCACCAAAAAACAGAAGGAACTCTGCAGTATGGGATTCTTTCACTGTTTGTAAAAATGATCCCTCCAAAGCCATGTGTAAGCTTTGCAAGTCCAAAATAGGCAGAGGTAGAGATCCAAAACATTACAATACAACATCTCTACATAACCATCTGTTATATCTTCATAGCATGAGAAAGCCCACTGTATCAGTCACCTCCACCTCTTCCACCTCTCATGGCAACATGCCTTCTCAGGACACTGGTGACCAGCTGGGTGCTGCTAAGGGCTCACCATCTTCGACTTCTTCACCACCAATACTCACTGCATTTGCAGCAAAGCAGCCATTCTCTGCAAACCATCCCCGGTCAAAAAGAATTACGGATTTTCTCTGTACTGGGAAACCTTGATTGCTGATTGGCTGCACCTGGCGGTAAGGCGTTTCCTGTTTTCAGTGTTGCACTCCGTGTAGCTGTTTGGTGTTTGGGGCTCGCTAAAGCTGATTTAATTTCTCTGTACTTGGATATCTCTGAGTTATTGTAGCACAAAAGCACGCTAAAACACACATTTTCTGTTGTTCCACCTAGCTTTTAGGGAACCATTTGAGTTTGCACGCAGTTTATTTGGTACTGAACAGTTTGCTCGTCCAGTTAGCTTAGCCTCAGCATGGCTATGGCTACTTCTGTCTTTGCTTCTCCGTCTCCTATCTCTTGCTCTGTGTCAGATGTTTAGTTACTCCTCTGC